TAAAACTGAATTGCTAGTTCGGTCCCTCGTCCCTTTTATCCTTGCTGTCTCGCCTTGTTCCTCAAGTCAAACCCGCCAAGAAAGGTCCAAGAACCTTTTTTTCTGCAAATTTTCTTTAAAAATTTTCATTGTTGAACATTCCGAAAAATCTCTTCAATGAAATTTATCTCCATTTTTTGGGATTCTCAATAAATAAGACTATTCATTCATTTATATTATAAATAATATTTATTACAGATAAATATATTTTTAACTAAAAATATTAATTTATAAATCTTTGACTTTTTTTCCTTTTTTTTTTTTTTGATATTTACTCGAGTATTGAACAAGTATTCAAAAAAAATATTAATTTTTGATTTGAATTGAATCCTAAGATTCGATCAACTTTACTGAGATGCCAAGATACGGGACAGACCTCCACCATCCTCCCATTTTTGAAAAATATGACAAAATTCAGATTAATAATTCCAATTTATAGGTTAATTCCAAGGATCCGAAGATATTTAGTACATATACACCTAATTTAACTAATATGCCCCAAATTATTAATTCAAACTAGCATTCTGGTAATTAGTCCTAGGGCTAGGGTTCGAATGAGAGGGTTAGGGGTTGTAGAAATATTGATTCAATGGCAAAATAAGTTAATAATTGAGTAAAATTCAATATTTACATACTATTTTGAGAGTTGGAAGTAAATCCAAAGGATTATGATTGTTCAAAAATCATCAAAATATTTCTAAGTATCAAGTATTTTCCTAATAAAATATTCAATTTTAAAACTTCAAGTTAAATCTTAACTACTGATATATACGATAGAAATACATGTTATTATACTACTTTGACTAAAATAATTACTTAAAAGTACTATTCTCTTATATAAAAGTACCAATAGTTACCAATGTCTCATAGTAACTCAAGTATTCCAGATTCAATCCTAACTGGTCGGGAGTTCGATTCCCAGATACTAAATTGATATATACATCAACGTGTTAGTGTAATGGGTGATTGTAATCAATGTGTTAGGGTATAGAGAAAAACGATATCACAAAATTCCTGGTTGAGGATTTAATAGTATATATAGACTCTATACATGTCATATATGCATGTTTAAAAAGAATTTCCCATTTCTCAAAGTATTTTTTACTATGGCTCATAGTAAAATTTTCAACTTTTCAAATCTTTCACAAAACATTCTCAAAACACTATTAGTTAGTGTATTACTCATATTTAAGAGTAATTTGAACTATATTATTGAATTCTAAAGGATTGAATTTTTTAGATTTCTAAAATATTGTTAAGTATGAAGTATTTTCCTCATAAAATTTTCAATTTAGAATTTCAAATTTTAAATTAACTCCTGATATATACGATAGATATACACATTATTATACTACTTTCATTAAAATAAATACTAAAAAGTTTTATTCTCTTAGATAAAACCATCAAGAGTTACGACTGTCTCATACTAACTTAACTTTTCCAGATTCAAACCTAGCAGGTCAGGAGTTCGATTCCCAATTACTAAACTTATGCACATCACTCGTGTTAGTGTATTGGGGTGATTGTAATCAATGTGTTCTATAAGCTGCTACCAGGGATAGGGTTAAGTTTAAATTTTATAGTGATCTCCATACTAAAATATAAGTATATTTATGAGTATATCACACCAATTAAATAACTTTTAAAGAGTTTGAAGTAAATCCAAAGGATTATTTTTCATCAAAAAAACCAAAATTTATATTATTTATATATTATACTAACCTTCAATGCATAATTTAAGTTGGCAATGTACATCTCTAATAAATTTTGTAGGAATATCCAGTGAACCTTCTTCTTCTAAGTTTGGATAAACTTCAGTTGACAACCCATATAATCTTTTTGTTTTATCTTGGTCAGTGATTTGAAACTTTGCAACTTTTGATAAAAGTATTTGAACTAACATGACAATATCAGAATGGTTCATAGATAGAATCTTTGAATCCATTTTTGTATAGAGTTTGGAAGTATGATAGGCATTTACATAAACTGGCCAATTGGGATTGTTTGATTTGATTGTAGCTCTAATACCATTTACACCAAATAAATTTGTTTCGCTGTCTATTAAAAAAAAAAGGTTAGTAAAATGGTAAATATTCCATTCTTTAATTAACATACCTATTTGAAGATTGTATATTTCACTTTTAGACTTTCCAAAACTCATTACTTTGTCATATAATTCTTTTTCCGAAAAAAGTAAAGTAGTATTCAGCTTTGTACTATAAAAAGTGAAAGCCATATCAATAAATATGTCCTCAGGACTGATTTCATAGCATTTGTTGAAAAACTCTGCTTGCCAACTATCTTCATCAAATATTCCTATATCATTGTTTTGATCGGCAATAAAACAATTTTTGACATAATTCATTTCCATTGGTAGTGTCGCTTTCATTCCCTTTATCTCGACAAGAATGTAGAAGTCTTTCATCATTGATTCGAGTAAAGTACATTCTGGATCATTTTCCACATCTGAAAATAGATTCTTTCTTTTAAAAAATGATTTAGGATTTTTTTTAAAATCACTAAGAGATCGTAAGAATCTTGAAACTATTCTACTCTGAATTGGGATTCCAGCGGAATAATGTACATTTCCATGTGAACAAGCTTCCCGATAAGTTGAAATACTTGAAGGTATTCTTGACTTGTTAGTTTCGTCATAGAAAAACGAATTTCTAATGAGAGGAAGCAACAAATGATTCCATATCCTGTCAGTGTCATCTTGTTTCATAGCCCCCATGTGAATTTGTAAAAGGTTTTAAAATCGATGGAACCATTAATCTGATTTTAATATTGTTAGATTCCATTAACAGCATATTTGAAATGGTATGATAGGGTGTTGGTGTATGATAATTCTTGGCCCAATCAATGTTTGATTTCAAAGGCGATAATTTAAAATCAGATTCAATAATTGAAATAATTTCAAATTGTTCTTTAACTAATCCTATGAAACTATCAACATCAACCAAAACTTTGATATAATCTTTGATACCCGGTTCTTCCAAAACCAAACGATAATCTAAATTACCAATCTTTCCATTGACTAAAAAATTTGGATTTTCTTTTAGATCGAAATTATCGTTGAAGAATTCTATTCCTTTATCTCTAATAAATGGAGGAGTGGGAGATGATGGAGGCGATGACTGTAGGGGTGATCTAACTGGTGATGATTCTGATGACATCGTTGGTTTAGGAGATACTGATTTGGGAGATGAAAATAGTGGTTCTCTAAATGGATTTGATGACTGTAGGGGTGATGTAACTGGGGATAATCCTGATTCTATGGTTGGTTTAGGTGATACTGATGCGGAATATGAAAATGGTTGTTGATCTTGATGGGGATGTGGGTGATAAATCATCGATTAATTCTTCAAGAATCATGTATTCTACATGTTCGTTATTGTAGAGTAAATTTGCTGCAGCAGCCGTCATGGCTATTAGAGACTCTGTTGGTTTGAAGGGTAGGGAAGTTGATGTTGATGTTGATGTTGATGTTGATGTTGATGTTGATGTTGATGTTGATGTTGATGTTGATGTTGATGTTGATGTTGATGTTGATGTTGATGTTGATGTTGATGTTGATGTTGATGTTGATATGTTTGATATGTTGATGGGTATTGATGATGTTGACGTGCTTGATATAGTTTCTTTTTGGGAGTACTCGGATGGTTTAACAGGACCAAAAAATTGTGGGTCAGTGGACACAGAATTGTTAAAGAGTTCAGACGCAATATGGTATCTCCAAGAGAAATTAAATGATGGATGGTCCGCTTGAAAGCTTTCAATATTCAACAAGTATCTTGCATTCAAGCAAACATGCAAGCCACAATCATCACCATTTGGTTGAGGTTGTGTTTTAATGGTCATAACACTATGATTGGTTTTGCTTTTTATACACCCAAATGCCTGATCCTCTTGAGCTAGCCGATTTGGTAACTTTTCAAGTAGATCAAATAAATATGATGATCCATTGCCTGCCGAATCATAATATTCAATTATACCAGAACCAACACGAAAAACTGCTAATGTCCAATGAGATGAGGAGCATATTGGTAGCAAAATAGTTTGTACATTATTTGGTGGTCTTGGCAATTTTAAGGGTAATTTAAATTTCTCTTGGGATTGTCTGAATGAAACAAAAACTTCATGTAATATATTTGATATTTGGGTGATGAACAAATACTATAATGATCCTCTCTAAGCAAAACTCTCGGTTTTGCAAAGAGCGATTCATCGTTTTATTATTTATTTTCAGTGAGTCATTTATATGACACTCTCCTCTTTTCTCTGGATGTCCCATTTTCTTTGTGTTTGTTTATAGTTATTATTCTGATTGTATATTATTATTATTATTATTTCTATATAAATTGTTATTATTTCTTTTCCTTGTTTGTTTTGTCTTGTTTCGTGACAGCTGCTTGTTCTTGCTCGAAGATATCAAGTGCTTCACAATCTTCTACTTGTTCGTGATCTACCCATGAACCTTCGTCGATTGGGTATCCTTTCCACAACACAAAGTATTGAACCTTTTTGTTTCTACCAACCAGTTTCTTGGCAAGTATCTTTTCTACTACAAACTCCTCTTCTCCATCAACCAATACTGCTTGTGGTCTATCTAATTGAATGGTTCTATCTGGGAATTGGTCATTGTCATTCTTGATGTACAATTCCATGTAGTCAGCATTGAATACCCTATGTGTGCGGCTCGTCGATGGTAGATCGACTTCAAATGTATTCTCTCCAATCTTCTTTACAATTTTGAATGGACCAATCTTGTCCTGAATCAACTTTTTACTGTCTACCACTTGTTTGAGTAATGCGTCGCTGATCTTGTTACGATTCAACAGGATCTCATCCCCTTCTTTCAAAGTACTCTCCTTTCTATTCTTGTTGTAGTTTCTTGCTTGTTCGACTTGTGATGACAAAATGTTGTCTCTCGCAACCTTTTGGAAGTAATCTATCATCTGTTTGATGTCCATATCTTTGATCGCATGAATGTTGAATATGTTGGAAGGTGTTGTTGGTTCAAATCCATAATTGATTTCGAATGGTGAAAGTTTGGTTGACGATTGTTTAAATGAATTGAGAGCAAATTCTACAGCTGTCAGATGCTCATCCCAATTCTCCTTGTGTGTCTCTTGAAACTTTTCCATTATCTTTCTAATAGTCTTGTTGTAGATTTCCGTCTGACCGTCACCTTGAGGTCTATTCGGTGTTGACATCTTTAATTTTGTTCCAATAGCTGTCATTAATTCACTCCAAAGGTCACTCGTGAATCTCGGATCTCTATCCGACACGATTGACGATGGCAGTCCGTGTAGTCTAAAGACATTGTTAAATAATAACTTTGCAGTACCTACTGCATCAATCTCTTTAGTGCAAGCCATTAAGTGAACCATCTTGCTTAGTCTATCCACAACAACCAATAAATTGTCCATTCCATTCTTGGACGTCGGCAAGGACATAAAGTCCATCGATATGTCCATCCAATTTCTTTGAGGTATCTCTAGAGACGTCAGAAAACCCTTCGCTTTGCATTTGTTTGAACGTTGACAAATATCACAAGAACCAATGAACTTGACGATCGACGAATGTAATCCAATCCAGAAATAATTTGATCGTATCTTCATATACGATTTGGTGATACCCAAATGACCACCAATATAACCAGCATGACTTTCATCCAGTATTTTTGCAATGTGTTTCTTGTCTACCAAGATTAGACGCTTCGACAGGTCTGGTTCAACAATGAACAATAGACCTTCCTCTTCAATGATTTTGTTATTCTTGTTTCTTTGAATCTCCACAATTTCACTTGAGTCCTTGTATGACTCTACAATTTCCTTGATCCATTCGTCGGACCAAACTATTTTATATCTTCTATCTCTTGACAGTGCATCTGCCACTGTATTGGTCTCTCCAGGGATATATTCAAACTTGATATCAAATTCTCCCAG